GGATGAGGGTGCCAGTGTCTTTGCACACGCCCTGCCACTGATGGTTCCACCAGCTTAGCATTCCGACCTCCAGCTGTTAGCATCCGGCTCTCCGTTTCCACCTCCATTTACCGACTTCCAGCGCCCATTCTCGCAGCATTCCGACCTCAAGCTTTTAGCATCCGTCTCTCCGCATCCAGCTCCACCTATCGACCTCCAGAGCCCACCAGCTCATCATTCCGACGCTAACCTCTAGCGTCCACCTCTCCACTTCCAGCTCCACCTATCGACCTCCAGCGTCCACCAGCTCAGCACTCCGACTTCCAATCTCCAGTATCCGACTCTACACCTCCGCATCCACCTACTGACTTCCAGCGTCCATCAGCTCAACAGTACGACTTTCAACCTCTAGCGTACACCTGTCCACTTCCAGCTCCACCTATCGACCTCCAACGTTCACCAGCTCAGCACTTCGACCACCAACGTCGCGCATCCGAATTTCCACTCCCACCTCCATCAATCGACCTCCAGCGTCCATCATCTCAACTTTACGACCTCCATTTTCTAGCATCCAACTCTCCACTGCCAACTCTATCTATCGACTTCGGCGTCCATCAACTCAGAATTAAAACCTCCAACCTCCAGCATCCGACTCTCGACTTCCACCACCAATCAACCACCAACCTCCACCAGCATAACATTCAGACCTCCAACCTCTCACATTTGACTTCCCACTTCCATCACCAATCGACCTCTAGCTGATCTCTTGGGTGTGTCACAGAGCGCGTATGGGCCTTCGACTGCACGTGGTGATCTGTTTATTGAGTGGTACCTGAAGGATGTGACACAGAGTTCATGGAAACACCAGTGCTCCCACACCCGTGTGCAGTGGTTTGGAGGTCCGAGGAGTTCAACTCGAACGTGTTTTGCTATGAGTTCGAGATCACAGAAAGGACGATGACACCCACGGGTTTCTCCGACAGTCTCACACCACCAGAACTACGATTTCAACGAGACGACGTGGTTACATCATGAGAAAACGGATGAGTGGGGACTGTCGGGAAATCAGCTCCTGAAGTACACATTGTCCAGAGTAGAGCCCCGACGCGCGCAGCTTCTCATGCGAGGCCATGGCCTCACCCGCCTCGCCCTTAAGGGGCCCGGGCGCATGCCCGCACAGGCGATCCGTATCCGTATCCGTATCCCGCCACTGATAGTAGTTTGCGAAGTACAACGTGGCTATTACGAGAGCGAGCGGGAAACGCCTCATGAGCACAAGTCAGTAGCATTCGGAATGGGGGTCCGCGTTTGCACCGGCAGCCCAGCAGTTGGAAATGCGAAGTAGCAGCTCGCGGTTCGCAAGTGGTTGCGAAGACAGCGCGCTCGGTATCAGAATTGGTTGCGCGAGAAGTTGCAGTCGCATGCAATCAATACAATCGTAGCTGTACCTATGGCACCTGTGATGTCAATCTTGTTTTTAGAATGGCTCGAAGTTCATTAGGCCATTCCCTTTGTTTGTCTTTTTGGCACTTCTCGCAACTCTAAGCGCTTCTGGGGGCAATGATTTGGCCTTGTTTACGTAAAACGTGTTTGTGTCGATAGTGTTGAATTGCCGTTGCCAATGCTCCGATGATACTACGATCCAGTACGGTCCCTTTGCTGTTACCTTCAATGCTCCCCGTACTCCGTGCATCCGCCTTCACCTTCCTGACATGTGCATCATCATCCACGCCGCGTTGTGGTCAGCATGGGGTGGTGGGAGCAAAACAGTGGCTCCTGTTTGCCAGTGCTGGTCGCGTCCTCCTCACTCAGGATCGCACCGCGGGAGAGCGAAGATAACCGCGTGACGCGCCTCGCGCCACGCGAAGCACGAGGTTGGGCGACCGATGAGCAGGGAGGAGCAGGACGAGGAGGGAAGGCGCCATCGGGCCCCCCGTCGTCGTCACCACGGCCAGACGCGGCTCGGATCACATGCCAAGATGCGCCCGTGGTGTGGTCCTGGGCGGGTCTTCGCTCCTCACCTCGGGACCCCGTGCCTGAGCCCACTCGGCCGCCGAGTGGGCGGCTGAGCGGGCTCAGCTGCAACAGGGCGCAGGGGCCGTGGCGGGAGCCGGGCCACTTCGGGAAGGCCGAGAGAGCTCGATGCTGGGTCCGTGCGGCGGCCGTGTGGGCTGAGGTGCGGGCTCCCCGGGGCACTTGGGAGCCCAGATCTGGTTGTTCATGTTTTTGTTGGGTGGGTTTCGGAGGTTTCTTGGAAGTCGTCGGGCCCTTCTTTGGATGTTAGAAACGCTGCAGGCATGCTTTGCGGGGTCGTTTTCAACGTTTGGGTCTTCGGCCAGCCAGAACGGAAAGTCAAACGACAGCCCACAACATTGAGAATCTGCAGCGCAAAACGGAACCGAACGGGCAACGGCGCGAACGAGAATCCGAACACGGAGAGCAGCACGGAGCGCAAGTTGGCGAAAGCAGAGTCGATCCTAAGAGCTGAACGAACCACGCCCCCCAGCGTTTCTCTCAGTATCGAATAACCGACCCCCATCCCCATCCTCATCCCCTTCGAGACCCCCACCAAATTAGCACCCCAGTTGGGGATACACCCCTCGAAACCCGAAGGGAACGGCCCATATCCCCATCGAGTGGGGTCGATCGGCCAGCGGGGCCCAGGCCACGCCGCTGGGGATGGGGATCGGTTAAACGATGCCCAATTTTCACATCACCCCACGGTCGGGCCCCGCGGTGCTTTTTTGCAGCCCCGCCTCGTCGAGGGGCCTCCCGCGGTTGAGCCGCCTCTCCAGACGGCGTGCGTTCACAGGGCGGGCGTTTTGTTCCCCTCCTTCCTCAGACCTCTGCTCCTGCTCCTCCTTCCCTCCCTCCTCCTCCTCCTCCTCCTCCTCCTCCTCCTCCTCCTCCTTCCCCCTTCCTCCTCACTCCTTCCTGCTTCCTCATCCTCCTCCTCCTCCTCCTCCTCCTCCTCCTCTCTCCTCCTCTCTCCTCCTTCCCCCTCTCTATCCTCCTCCTTCGACTCCGCCTCCTCCTCCTTCTCCGTCTCTGCCTCCTCCTCCATTCCTTTTCATAATTCCTCCCTGTCGCACCCCCAGGCCGGTCGAAAAGGCAGGCTAGGCGTCGCCAGAGACTTCCGCACCATCAATAACACGGAAGCTTGGAATTGGCAACCGTTTCAAAGATGGAGGGCGGGTCGTTGTCAAAATGTGGTTCTCGCCTTAGCACCGGTCCGATCGGTCTTCGGATGAAGCTTTTCCATTCCGTGGTCACCCCGACAGCATTGTATGGTTGCGGCAGCTAGGTAATGACAGCGGAACGAGACTCAAAACTGAAAGGGACACAACTCAAAATGGTCCGGGCTATGTTGAGACGGGGACGAGTGTACAAGCAGGACGGGGACGTGGAGACATGGGTAGACTGGGTACAGCGTGTGACAACGGAGGCACGCCACTGGATGGAGGAACACCACGTACCCTGCTGGACGGAGGAGCGCCGATCCAAGGGTGTCACGGATTGTGGGCGGTTGGTTTGCAAAGTGTGGTTCTTGCTTCAGCGCCGCGCACACTCGTTTTAAGCATGTGCACTCGTTTCACGGATTCCCATGGTCAACGTGCTCGAACTATTCTTTTGCAAGTACTCAAGTTTGCAAGGGCGCAACAGTCACGTTGATTCGCGGTGTCGAAGTCCCAGGCACGGTGTTCTGGCACGATTCCGGATCGTCAAGACGCAACAGTTGTGTTGATTCGTGGCGTTGGAGTCCCGCTGATGTTGTTTTGGCACTCTTTAAGGTGAGTCTTCAAACGGTTGTCTCCCGACGAGGTTGTTCCCTCAGTGGAAATGAATCCTTTGTTGGGGCCTATGAAGAGGGAGCTTGGAGGGAGGGTTTATTCCAACATCGTCGATGAGTCTTGGGTTCCCACTGGTCCTCTGCATCCTCCTCCTCCTACTCCTCCTCCTCCTCCTTCTCTTCCTCTTCCCGTACTATGTACGAGTTGCGTGACATTGCGGCGTGAATTGGTTTAGGAATTCTTTGCTGTAACGCGCGCTGTAAACGAATACAACAATACATTACGACGGGCATTGGAGCCCGGGGCCCCGACATGCGGGGACCCTGAGACAAACGCTGGCGGCGTTGCTGCCTCGCTCTGGACCCAGGGGCCCTCGCGGCTTGATCCGTCTCCAGGGGGACTCTTGCAGAACAGGTGGGGACCGTTAGCCCGAATCGTAACTTCTCACGGCGAGGGTGGTCTCCGTTCTCGCGACGTCAGGTGTGAGGACGGCACAAGCCGATCCCACCCCCAGCCAGGATCCCCACTCCCGACCTGGTCATCTTGGGCTTCCTGGCTGGGGATGAAGGTGTTTTTTTGGGGCCCCGCGCACACCGATGTTAACAAGCGTGGGTCCCAAACCGTGATTTCTTGCAATCTGTGCGGTGCAAACTAGGCAGTGTGGTGCGATCCATCTGGTACAATCAATATGCTGCAAAGCAAGGCAAGGCAATGCCAAGCAAAACAATCCAATGCCAAGCAATGCCACTCAATGCAGAGACATGCCAAGCAATGCAAAGTTGTGCAATGCGATGCAAAGCAAGGAAGCATAATGCACAGCAGTGCAAAGTAATACAACGCAAAGCAATGCAGTGCAAAGCAATGCTTTGCTATGCTTTGCTCTACTCTGCTATGCTTTGTTATGCTCTGCTATGCTTTGCCATGCGTTGCTATGCTTTGCGAGTGGACGAGTGCGAGTGGACGAGTGCGAGTGAACGAGTGCGAGTGGCGGCGACTGACGTCAGCGACGCGCTGCGACGGGCGACAACCAGCCGGCCCAGAGTTCAGTTACCTTAAGAACGGAAGTTTGAACCTCTAAGTGTCAATCATTGCGGGTACAACGCCATGAATCACCAGGTCGGGAGGTGGGATCATGGTTGTGGGTGGGGTTGTGTTGCGCTGTCTTCACGGTGGCACGTCCCCTCGAGAATTGCTGCTCTCTTGCGCGTTCTTGCCTCCGCCCCTCCCGGGCAGTCATTTTCGCTCAAGCGGCCTCGCTCTCCAGCACACCCGATCGGTGGCTGCGGAGCGGGCGTCGTGTGGGGCGTGCTTCGTCGAGCTGGGCAGCCATGGACACGACTCGCAGTGCGCTCCTGCGCGAGACCATCCGCAAGGAGTAGAGGAACAAGCATGGCGTAAGCATGAACTTTCAAACTTCCGCACGGATGATGTCTCGGGTCTGTGCTGGGCCCCCCAGGCGACGCCTCCGCTTCCGCCCCTACGCCAAGGAGGGGGGCCAGCGCAGATTCCAGAAATTCCTGCGGGGTCCGAAAGTTTAAAGTTTATGTAGTTTCTAATGCATCACAGGAGATGAGGATGAACTTCAAGCATGTAGATGAGCTGCGCAGGAAAAAGGGCCTGCCCCTCAGCGCGTCGGCAGTGGTACTGCCCCCGCTCAAGAAGCAGAGCTGTGCCGACAGGCAGCTGGATCAGACTATGGGCCTAACGAGAGATCCGCACACCATGACCAAGGAGCTTAGAGGAGAAGGGATTAGGAGGGTGGGCAGGAGGAGGAGGAGGAGGCGGAGTTGCATGAGGGAGAGGAGGAGAATGAGGAGTATGAGGATAAGAAGGAGGAGGAATGACTGGGAATGACAGCAGGCCACGATGTGGCGTGCTTTCCTGGCACGGGGGAGGCCCAACGGACACGAGCCTTTGGGTGCTCCTCCCCCAGCCACGTGCGCCACCACGAAGACCTCGCCCAGCGGCACCGCCAACACACAGATCAGGGATGCAGCTCAGGGAGAGGCATAGCGCATAGCGGGGCGGCGCCGAGCTCAGCACTGCACGGTCAGCAGCACCCACCAGGGCGCGTGCTCCGCGCGTGACCGCGGCAGCGGGATGCATGCCAGAACAGTGCCGTCGCCGACGCTGGCGTCGTACACTTCGATGCCCTCGACCGCGGGCTCCACGACTGCCCCGACCGCACGGGCCGCCAGTTGGCTCCTCCAGGCCAGCCTGTACTAGGCCGATGTGCTCGCCCCGCTCCTCCACCACGCTCCCTGGCGGGAAGGCGGGGGGCTGTCCGCACAAAAGCACGCGCAGGCGCATGCTCCAGCTCCGGGGATCTTCGGGGGCGTCTCGTCAACGTCGGCCATGTCATTCAACTCGCACGGTTCCACCTCATTGTCCTCCATCTCGCTACCATCGCACAGCACGTCGTCGTATTCATCGACGTCGTAGTAATGCATTCCGTCGCCTTCACCATCGCCTGCCGCCAGCGGGTCCGGCTCCGCCAGCAGCACGTCGGCATCATTGCCCCGCCGCACAGAATGCTTCGCAGCGCTTGCCACGAACTGCGGAGCCGTGTGTGCCACACTGCGCCTCGGACCTGGCAACTCTCGCAGGCCCAATTGCGACCACGCAACTCTTCACGGTGCACTCGATCACACCGTGGGTCTCTCACATGGGCCATTCATTGTTCCGAGCCCGCATGGCCGTTTGCCTTCTCGCCCATGCGCCGCTTCCAGCGTGCATTGCAGAGACCTTGTGCCAGGAAGCGATTGCCTCACTGCGTGCAGCTTGGAGGTCTGCTGGGCCGCGCGGAGCGCCGTCGCAGCAGCACGCAGCAGCTGCGTAGCGTTGTGCCTCGGCCTCTGCAGCCACGTGGGCGCGCGTCCCGCCACCAACGCCACCAGCGCTTGCAGCAGGCACCAGACTCGGGTGCCGAGGATCGCGTTCCTGTTTTTCCTTTGGGAAGCGTCTCAGATGAAAGTAAAGAACCACCGCCACCCGAGAACCCTCTGGTGAGGGGGGCGGCGAACTCTGGCCGGTGGCACGCCCGAGCGTCACCGGGTATTGTACGGCACGACGTTCAGGCGTGCCACCGCCCAGGGGTTTGGCCCCCCCCCCCTGATGGGTTGTGGCTCTAGGCCTCCCAAACGGGGTCGGAGTAGATGGGGTCGGAGGATCGCGCCGCATCGCGGATGCATCGCCGATGCGGCTCGATGTGGAGCACGATTTGCTTCACGTCGACGTCGCCGATGCGTCGCCCACGTTGACGATGCAACGACGGTGCATCGCCGATGCATCGACGATGTGTCGCCGATGCATCGCCGATGTATCGGCGATGCGGCGCGATCCTCCGACCCCATCTACTCTGACTCCATCCAGGAGGCCTCTAGTGGCGGTGGCCCCCGTTTCTCATCTAAGCCTTCCTCCGCTTGCTGTCGGCGTCCGCCAACGGCTTTGTAGCCGCGAGACCAGGCTATCTGCCCCTGCACGGACGCCAACAGCGCCACGCAGCGCCGCCGTCGAGCCCCTTCTCGCAGCCATCCCAAGCGGTCCCGCGTGGCTGAAACGTGTGGAACACACGAGATGCTTGATCCACAGTGGCTACGGAGGAGGATGAGGACCAGTGTAAACCCAAGACTCGTCAACCATGTTGCAATAAACCTTCCCTCCAAGCTTTCCTCCACAGGGCATGGATCCCTACGACTTTATTTTCATTGCTGCAAGTGCCCCATTAGAAGACAACCGTTTGAGAATCTCCAGCCGTGCCAAACACACGCACACACATGCACGCACACACACAAACATTCTTCGGACTTCACCGCCGCGAACCAGCGTGATTGTCGGGTCGTGGAGATCCTCAATCGTACCAGAACACCATTCATGGGATTTCCGCTATACGAGCTCTTGGATGTGCTGCAAGCTTTTAAGACAAAATGCGTGGCGCTAGGGCAGGATCAACAGTTTGCAAACGACCCGCCAGCCATTCGTGAAGCCGCTGCAAAGTTTCAAAACGAGTGCGCGCGGCGCTAAGGGGAGAGCCACATTGTGGAAACGACCCGCCCTCCACCCGTGAATTTGCTACAAAGCTTGAACGGCGAATTTGCGTGGCGCTCAGACCAGAGCCACGCGTTCGAATCGGCTCGCCCTCCGTTAGTGCAGCTCTTTCAACTGTCAAGCTCCAGGATCATAAAGGGTGAGGAAGTCTCAGTCGAAACGCCGGGCTTGTCTTGCTGACACGCTTGGGGGTGCAACAGGGGGGAGTTACTCATAAGGAAGAAGGGGTGAATAATAGGAGGGGGATGAGGAATAGGAGTAGGAGGAGGAGGAGGAGAGAAGTGAGAGGATGGGAGGAGGAGAAGCAAGGACGAGCTCGCCAATCATAGCATGACGGCCGACGACTTCTTCAAGTGGGGCGTGTCGCACGAGGGTCAGGGGCGGTACGCCTACCTCAGGCACCAGGCCAAGAGCGGAGGGCCCAGGGAGCGGTTCGGTCACCCCGTCTGCTCCAGCCACGAGATCGGGTGGGCGACCCTCACGCACCAGAACTTCGGCACGTCGCCGCATGCGAGACGCCCTCTGGTGAAGAACGACTTTTTCAGGACCATGGGCGTGAGCTTCTCCGCGGGGGCGCTCTGACCTGCCCCCCGCAGAGGGCAGATCTTGACCATGGCTGGGCCTAAACGTTGTTTTGCTGGACTTAGGCTATGTTTCGTTTTTCGTTTTTGGCAGGCAGGGAGGTACAGGAAAACAGGTAGAGCAAAACGACAACTAAAACGAACACACAACGAAAAACAACGTTTAGGTCCGGCCCTGTTCTTGACCAATCCACCTGCGTGCCTTGCCAGCGCCACCCTGGGCCCAGGGATAGCACACGGGCCCTCCCGGCCTCAGCGAGGAGGGCGCACAGCAGGTGCACCAAAAGAGAAGCCAGCCTGCCAGCAGCTGTCGGACGGAAGCTTCTGATCCCTCCGATGGCCCTCAAGAAGCTCAAGGCTCGACGACGCCCTGTTCCCCAAACAGTGTTTGCCGCCCGTCGCCGCCGTCGCCGCCGCTCGGGGCCAGTGGCGGCTATTGCGGGCGGTGCCGCCCATGGCCGCCGTCGCTGTCGCATAGATTGCACCACATAGTTAGATTCTCCATTCTAAAAAAAGAATAGACTCTACCCCCCCCCCCCACGTTATCCCCCCCTTTCGGGCATGTAAATCATATATGATTATGACCACATGTCCATCCTAAATATGAATGTACACTATCCCAGGGGGGCCGGTATCGCTCCCCGTGAGGTTCCCCTGTAAAAACAATACGCGGGGACATTTTCTGTTCTAACATAAGACTTGGTCATGCATCCCTTGCAAAAAACGGGACGAAGTGCACACGCGCGCGTCGTCGAGCGCGCATGCCGAAATCCTTCAAAAACCTTTGGTTTCGGAAGGATTTCGCAATCGAGTTTCCAAGCAAACATACACAACAACACAGGGTTTCGCAACCCTGATTTGCCAAACAAGCTCACACGCGAGCTCTTGCGAAATCTTGAGAAAACCATTGCTTCTTTCAAGCTTTCCACAATATGCTACCAAACTGGCTTCGCGCGCGCATGTCGAAATCTGTCGAACGCCCTTGCGCGTGTGCCGTCGCGAGAATCCTCTGCAGGAGCAAACGACGAAGTGGAGACGCGCGCGTCGTCGCGCGCGTATGCCGAACTCCTTCAAAACCCATCGGTTTCGGAAGGATTTTAAAATCGTGTGTCCAAACAACCTACAAAAACAAAAGGTTTCGCAACACGGGTTTTCAACAAAAGCGTGCGCGCGCGCTCTTGCGTCGTCGTCGTCGTCGTCGCCGTCCTCCCTCCTCCCGCGTCGTCGTCGTCGTCGCCTACGTCGTCCTCTGTCTTTCCTCGTGTTCGTCGTCGTCGTCCTCTTTGGCGTCGTGGTCGTTTCCGTCGTCGTTGTCGCCGTGGTCGTCCTTCCTCCTCCTCCCTCGTCGTCATCGTCGTCCGTCGTCGGCGTCTCGTCGTCGTCCCTCCTATTTCGTCGCCGTCGTCGTCGTCGTCGTCGTCGTCGTTGTCGTCGTCGTCGTCTTCCCTCCTCCCTCGTCGTTGTCGTCGTCGGCGTCGCCGTCCTTCCTCCTTCTGCGTCGTTCGCGTCGTCGCCGTCCGCCCTCCTCCCTCGTCGTTGTCGTCGTTGTCGTCGTTGTCTCCGTCTTCGTCCTCCCTCCTCCCTCGTCGTCGTCTTCGTTGGCGACGTCGTCGTCGTCTTCGTCGTCGTCGGCGTCGGCGTCGTCGTCTTCGTCGTCGTCGACGTCGGCGTCGTCGCCGTCGCCGCCGTCGTCGTCGTCGTCGTCGTCGTCGTCGGCGTCGTTGACGTCGTCGTCGTCGGTGTCGTCGTTGTCGTCGTCGTCGGCGTTGTCATCGTCGTCGTCGTTGTCATCGTCGTCGTCGTCGGCGGCGTCGGCGTCGTCGTCGTCGTCGGTGTCGTCGTCGTCGTTGTCGGCGTCGTCGAAGTCGTTGGAGACGTCGTCGGTGTCGTCTTAGTCGTTGTCGGCGGCGTCGTCGTCGTCGTTGTCGCTGTCGTCGTCGGCGTCGCTGTCGTTGCCAAGTGCCATTTGGTACCCACCGTCACGGTCTTAAGAGATTTTGCAAACCAAGTTGCGGGTGGGTGGGTGGGATGTTTGCGCGAGCAGTGGAGTGGACAACTCACTCACTGCGAACAGAAAGTAATTGCACCACATATATTGCACCGCATAGACTGGATTGCATAGGCTGCACCGCGTAGATTACGCCACGTAGATTGCACCGCATAGATTGCACCGCAGAGATTGCGTTAGTTTCCATCGCATACATTGCACCACATATATTGCACCGCATAGACTGCAAGAACCTGTTGTTTAGGGGTCCACGCTGGCTATTACATGTATCATGTCATGACTTATTATTGCATGCCCCTACTGTGCAGGGAAGCTGGAAACACGAAGGGCTGGAAGCACTGCGGACAGAATTGCGCCCACGGGCCTGCGCACAAATTAGACAGAGGGAGCCCAAACCCGACCGAACAAAAAGAAAGAATTTATGGTAGCCCCAGGCAGCCCCCAGTTGGCCCGGGGACGACGTTTGTGAAGGAAGAAACTCACCGCGACGACAGCGTAAGGGCTGGCCCAGAACATGAGAAACAAACGCATCGGACTATCCTTGAGGGGCCTCCATTCGGACCGGCGAATAAAACACAACGGGCTTCCCGAAAGCGACGAACACAGAAGAGTTGGTATAGCCAACAGGGGTCGGGCTTCGGCGAAAAAGTATTAAAAAACGATTGCGCGATTCATAACGCATCTCTCATATGCCGGAAACCCAGTCCCGGGTCCCCTCAGGCCGCAGCACACCAGGGGTACCAACTATACACGAAGTGTCCCCTTCCCCAACGAGGCCTCCCCCGGGCCTCCCCGGGCCTCCCTGGAACTTTCCTGGAGCTTCCCCCCAGAGCTTCCGGATAGGTTCCAGACGGCCCAACGTGGCTTCCGAACGGCCCCAGATGATGTCAAAATTGCATGCGAGGCCCCGAAGACACCTTATGATGGCTCCAGGTGGACCCCCAAGAAGGCCCGAAGAGGCAAACATTGCCTCCTCCCTGTTTGGAAAACGCACCCCCAAAGCAGTTGAAGAGGTCCCCCAGAGGGTCCCAAGATTGCCCAAGCGGCACCCAGGACTGCCCCAAGAGAGCTCCAACAGGGGCTCCCAGGGGGGGAATTCGAACCCACATTTCAAGGCCTCCGCCCCAAGAGGACCCCGAAGACCGCCAGCAAGCCCCCAACGACCACGCCGAGAGGAACCAAGAGGGCCCCAAGACGCCCCAAGACGGCTCCAAGAGGACCCTCAAGAGGGCCCAACGAGGCATACATTACCCCCGTTCTTTTTACGGAAACGCACAGTTCTATCACATTCGCTGTTTTTTGTTATGCGCACAACGCCCAAGACGGCCCCAGAGCCGCAAAACAGCTCAAGAGGCCCCCCCAGAGAGCCCCAAGAAAGCCCGAGAGAGCCCCAAGACGGCCCAAGCAGCACCCACGACCGCTCAAGACGGCCCCAGAGAGCCCCTAACATCGGCCCCTAGGGGGGGAATGGAGCCGACATTTCGAGGCCTCCGCCCCCAAGAGGACCCCGAAGACCGCCGGCAGGCCCCCGACGACCCCGAGACGGCTCCAAAAGGACCCTCAAGAGGGCCCGAATGGGCAAACCAATTCCTTTAGGAGAGCGCACATGTGTAACCCGGAAGGGTCTTTCATGCTAGCCGCGATTGCCCCCCCCCAAGCTCCCGGTTGGCGATCCGACTCGTCCTCCTCCTCGTCATTCCCCTCACCATCACAGATCCTCATCACCTTCCCCATCATCAGCAGCGGCCGCGGCGGGGGAATCATTGCTTTTCCTGTGCTGTTGGGGCCCCAATCCGTCAATAAGCCCGCGGAAACATATGTTTCCATTATTGGGGGGGATTCGAGACAGATTGCGGTTACCACAGTTGCTGTTTCCATGCGTGCAGCTTCCAAAATTACCCCAGATGCCCCCAGGAGAGCCCCAAAACGGCCCAGACGTCTCCCAGAGGGCCCCAAGACGGCCCAAGAGGGCCCCAAGACGGCCCAAGCGGCACCCAGGACAGCCCAAGACGGCCCCACGAGGGCCCCAAAGAGGGAATTGGGGGGAGGATGGCGGGGGATGTGAACCTGCATGTCGAGGCCTTCGCCCCAAGAGGACCCCTCACAGACCACAGCAGGCCCCCAAAGACCTCCCGAGAGGACCCAAGAGGGCGAAAAGAGACCCCGAAGAGTCCCCGAAGAGGCCCCGAAGGGCGCCCCAAGAGGCTTCAAGACTGTTTCCAAGAGGCTGCCCAGAGGTTTTCCCAGAGGCGCGAACAGTCATTCAAGAGGTCTCACACCAACAACCCAGGCACGGTCGCAGGATGCGCAGACGGCCACCAGGAGGGGCACACGTGGACGAGGGGCATGGTGGTTCCTCCTCTTTGCGTCGTCATTTTCCTTTTGGTCTTCAAGGAATAAACTTCTCCTTCTGCTCCTGCCCCTCCTTCCCGTTCTGCCCTCGTCTTTGTCGCTGTCATGCTCCTGGACTCTTCTCCCATTCTTCGACCTCCAAACCGCCCCCCTCGTCCCCTTCGTCGTCCTCCTGGAGACCTCCGTGCTCAGGCAAGGCCTGTTTACTGCGTGTTTCCGTGATTCCGCAGCGTCTTCGGACTAAGGTCGCATCCGAAACCGTCGCCCACCCCTCGGCATCCCACTGCGAGCGGGGATTCTGGAGAACCTGAGCGCTCGCGAAGCGCGCGCGATCGGTCACGAATGTTTGGCCGCGGCCGCGGGCCACCCTGCCCGAGCCGAAGACCAGGAAACACAGAAGGCTGGCGCGCAAAAGAAGTGTTCAGCGGGACGCCCAGGACGGGCTTCCAGGCCGAAATCGACACCCAATGGCATGGCCGGGAGCAACAACAACACATGCACCTTGGCGCGGCGTCGAGAACGCCCCGCTCGAGCAAAAACGAGCAACAAAAATGAGGCGCTAGCAAATTGCAACTAAAGCGAAACTGTCGGGGCAACCCTGCGGCGCACCCGTCTGATACGAATAGCATGGTCCTGTGGCATGCCCCGTGGGACCTGGGGCATGTCTCATGGGCTATAGGCTTGGGGCGGCATGGGACATGGGGCGTGGTCATGGGGCGTGAGGCACAGCATGGGGCTTGGACCACCCCAGGAGGCATGCGGCATGGGGCACGGGCCATGTCCCCAGAACACGCATACCGCATGCCCCATGGGGCAATGGGCATGCCGCATGGGGCATGGCGTGCCCCATAGCGCCATCGTGGGGCCCAGGGCCGCCCTGTCAGGACGTCCTGGTGGCGTCCCGGTGCCTCTGACGCATGCGCATCTCCGCTCCGCCAGTGCACGCGGGTATATCTGCCGCTCCGAGGCGGGGATTTATGCATGACTGCCGCCTGGAGGATCGATTTTCGGAGACCTCGCCAGACGGAGGATATGGATGTACTCAGGCCCCCTGGGGCCTCAGTATGTCCACATCCACCGCCCGCTGGGTTCCCACGACGTCGATTCCACAGGCGGTGGATGTCGGACGGGGCTAGGACGAGGATAAAATCGTTCCAGAGCGTTCTGGAAGGCTCTCAGAGCGGGCCAGAACGTGAGAGGGCCGCTGCGCTCGAGACATCCTCCAGAGCCGGTGGATCCCAGCGATTCCCGATTTTTCCCTATCCGATGTTATCCTCGTCCAGGCTTCGTCTTAGGATATGAGTATATCCCCGCCCCGCAGCCGGCGCGGACGGAGACGGTCTCCGGCGCGCCCCGTTTCGGGCGCGGGCGTGGCGGCGCTGCCCGCCCCCAGGCCCCCCAGCTCGCAGGCCCCGCCGACACCCGCTGGGGGCGCCTCGGGCGGGCCTGTGCGAGGAGGGAGGATGTGGCCAGAGGGGAGGATCGGGTGCTGCCCACGTCGAGCCGTGAGAGGCGGGGGTCAATGTAAACGTGGTCAGCCAGAGCGCCAGATCTTGCAGGATCCTGCAGGATCCAGATCCTGCTAAGCTTGACTGACCCGGGCTTGCCCTGACGTGGGCCAGTGCGACCCCGAAATAGTTCCAGCCTCCCAGATGGGGTCCGAGCAGGAAGGGTCGGAAGATCGCGCCGCGTTGCCGATGTTGCGGCGATGCGGCTCGATGTGGAGCCCGATTTCTTCCGCGCCGACGTCGCCGGTGCGGTGCAATCCTCCGCCCCATCCGCTCGGACCCCATCTGGGAGGCCTCTAGACAGGTGTTCCCGGCCCAAGGTGTCTCCAGCTTTGCGCTCCACTTTGGAGCCCCTGGGGCCCTCTGGGCCTCGTGAGGGGTGCTCTGTTGGCCGTGGGGCCTCCTGGGGAACCAGGCGGAAGCAGGGCGCGAGCGACAGGGTGTTTTGGCGATGTCGTGGGCCGCTTTCGTTTTGAGATTTCAGTTTGCAGCAGAGCCGGATGCAAGACAGAACGAGGGAAAACGAAAACAAGACGATGACGGAAAACATCGTGCAGCTCGCGCCCTGGGAGGAAATCGTAGGGACACCTTGGACCAGGGACACTCTTGGCAACAACACCCGGGGAAATTGCATATCCGATTCCGCGGCCTCGCGGGCTGGGCCCCCGGACCGCTGCCCCGTGCGGCACAGATTCACGTGGTGGCGCATCCAGGGGATTGCGCCTTGGGTGTGCAGTTCGCGATGGCGCTGACGTGGATGCGTTCGCCGCTCGCGGGGAGGCGAGCGGGGGAGGGTCATTCGGCCTCGGCGGCGCAAGACAGCGTCAAGCCGAGGCTCGCCGCAGATAGAGATTGGCGAGTGGAGGTGTCGGCCCTCCCACCCTGGCCTCATGATAGATGGCCCCAGGCATGTCGCGGGCCCCCGAACGGGGGATGGTGACCACACCGCGTGGTGAGTCCCGGGGATTCGGGGTCACCGCGCGGTTGTGGGACTTGAGTCGTTATCCGAGGATGTCTCGGACGACGGGGTCCTCCGAGGTCCTGCGGTGACGAGGTCACCACGCGGTCTGTCACCACACGGTTTGGGGGCCCCGAAGCTTGGGCCCCACCCGCCCATGCTAATGGCAGCGCCCCACCCCTTTTGGTGTTTCGATCCCCGCCCTTGCCCTCTTGTTGTGGGTACCGTGGTGCCGTGGTGCTTCGGGGAGGGGGTTTCCAGGCGAGGTCCCAATGTTGTCGCCGTCGCCGTCGCCGCTTCCGTCACTGTCGCCGTCGCCGTCGTCGTCGTCGTCGTCGCCGTCGTCGTCCCCTCTCCATCTCATATGAGGATAGGTGGCCTCAGGAACCATGTACCCCATCCCCGTTTTGTCCCAGATCCTAAGTCTGGATTTCCTGTTAGCACTGGGACGCCTCCGCCTCCTTTGCTCTCCTTGTTTTGGTTTGTTATGTTTCTTTTTTTTGTTCTCTCTCTCTCTATATATATATACATAAAAAATATGTATCCCTCTTTCTCTCTCGCTCTCTCGCTCTCTCTCTCTCTCTCTTTCTCGCTCTCTCTCTCTCTCTCTCTCTTCTATTACTTAGCTTTCTCAGATCATTCATACTCAGGCTCAGGCACACCCAGGTACACTCACACTCAGGCTCACGAACACTCATACACACATTCGTAGCAGGCGTGGCACTTGAGCACCTCAAGGAGGAGCCGCCAAGGATGGTGACGGTTGCCGGGTCGCGCCCAGATTGTTGGGATGTCTCTGGAGGTTTGCTTGTTTGGTTGATCAGGCTTCTCTCTGTTAAGAGTCTGAAGCTCATCGTCGGGTAGCAGGTCTGGACGCCGCTAGAGGTTGAGACATTTGCCCGTTCGCGCCCAGGTTGTGGTGATGTCTCAGGCGGTTCGCCTGCTTGGTTGATTCGGCTTTTCTGTATAGTTTCAGAGCCTCATGCTCGTCACGATGTAGCAGGCGTGGCACTCGAGCAAAACACCGCCAGGGTGGGCTCATTTGCCAGTTCGCGCCCAGACTCTGGGGATGTCTTGGTTGGTTTGCCTGTTTGTTAGTTTGCTCTGATCTTACTTCTTTATCAGAGCCCCATGCTCATCGCGGTGTGGCAGGCGTGGCATTCGAACACCCCATCGTTGAGCCGCAGGGGTGGGGACACTTGCCAGTTCGCGCCCAGACTTTGGGGATGTCTCGATTGGTTTGCCTGTTTGGTTGTTCTGACCTTTTGTATGTATCAGAGCCCTGTGCTCATCGCGGTGTGGCAGGCGTGGCACTTGAACACCCCATCGAGGAGTCGCCAGGGGGGAGGACATTTGCCCGTTCGCGCCCAGATTGTAGAGATATCTCTGGCGGTTTGCCTGTTTGGTTGATCATGTTTTTTGTTCAGACCCCCATGGTCATCGCGATGTATCCAGCGGGGCAATTGAGCAAACCAAGGATGAGCCGCTAGGGGTGGGGTGACATCAGATGTTGGTGATGTCTCAGGCGGATCTTGCTTGGTTGATCAGACTTCCCACTCGCTTCAGATCCCCATGCTCATTGCGATGTAGCAGTGTTGCGCTTGAGCAACACCCAAACAGGAGCCGCCAGGGGTGGGGACATTTACCCAGTCGCACCCAGAGTGTGGTAATGTCTCAGGTGGTCTGCCTGCTTGGTTGATCAGACTTTTCTCTCGTGTCAGAGCCCCATGCGCATCACGATGTATCAAGCGTGGCACGTGAGCACGTTAAGATGGAGCCGCGAGATGGTAGGACATTTGCCCGTTCGTTCCCAGATTGTGGGGATGTCTCAGACGGTTCGCCTGTTTGGCTGATCGCAATGTATTCTTCGTCAGAGCCACAAGCTCATCGCGATGTGGCAGGCGTGATGCTTGAGCAAATTCCAAAGAGGAGCGGCCAGGGGCGGGGACATTTACCCAGTCGCGCCCAGATTGTGGGGATGTTTCAGACGGTTCGCCCGTTTTGTTGATGAGATTTTCTCCAGAGTTGAATGATCATTGCGATGTGCGTTGAAGGAAAGGTCGCTCGCGCCCGGACCTGCGTGAGCGAAGTCTCGCTCATGCTCGGACTCATTCATGCTCAGACACTCGTGAAGGGAAGATGCTGGCATAAGTCTCAAGATCATCCCGTCATCGCTGGCATGACATTTAGGCATTCCAAGGGGGGGCCGCCACGGTTCTCTGAATCGCCACATGTTAAGATTCTCTTATTCAGCTACGCGCAGACGGGATTGCCAGGACCTGAGGTGCACGTATGGGGATCTCCGCGTCGTTTATGGGGTGGGGACTGCGAACCCAGACCCCCGGATCAGAGATGCCTTCCCTGACCACCCCGGCGTTGTGCTTGGGAAGGCTCGGAGTGGGTAGGCTGGGCGTGACGGAGGGAGGGAGGAATGGGGAGAAGGGAGGGGCCAGGGGGATGAGGGAGTAAAGGAGAGGCTGGAGCAAGGGGTGCGGAAGGCTGAGGGGATATGGGAGAGGGGAGAAGGAAGAGTGAGGGCGGACTGTTTGGACTCAGCCTGGCGTTACCTCACTTGTACGCAACCATTGAGAACGGAGGGAGGAGGGAGGAAGGGCAGAAGGTTGCAAGAGGAGGAGGAGGAGGAGGAGGAGGAGGAGGAGGAGGATGGAAGGTGCCCGGTGGGAGCGAGGGCTGGGGGAGAGGAGAAGCAGGAAGGAGGAATGACGACGGAGGATGCCCAGTGACTTCCTCCAGCCGTCGGCGCAGCAGTCCGGTTCCCTCTCTTTGGATTCAAAGAAGGGGGCCAGCCAGGGCTTGTTCTCTATGTCGGGCGGTGCCAAGGGGGTCACCACTAGGGGGGTTACCAGTTTCGCTTGGGAGCCGAGGTTCTAGGATCGAAGCTCGAGGCGGCTTTTGGACGCGTGGGGTCATTTTGTAAGGCTCTGGAGTGTTCTTTGGGGCCCACTTTCTCTAGGAAATTGTGTTTCCTTGAGGAAGGGGTGACCCTCCTAGTGGTGACCCTCCTTGGCATTGCCTCACTATCTTGCCCCAAGGGCAATCTTTGTAGGCCTGATCGTTTTTTGTTTTCAGCGCCCAGCATCATTCCTTCGCCCTCGACCTCCTCCCGCCGTTCGCAGCCCGCCTCGGCAGTCGTGAGTCATAGGTGCGCGATTCCAGCACGTTTTCCAACGAGACGCTCCCGCATTGGTCGAAGACAACGCGGAAGTGTCACGTGGCAGAGCCTCGTGCCTGTGAAGTTCGACCAACAAATAAGCTTCCTGGTCTGTTGAGACTCTGTCTCTTCCGTTGGGTCTCGGATGTCACGCCGAAGTCTACCGTATTGTTGGACGTTCCGCATGCCCCTGCCAGCCCATATAGAAATTTAATCGCTTCGCTCATGCCGCCGGCCCTGGAGCCCTCTTTAGGGCCTCTTGGGGGCCTCTTGGGGACCTCTTGGGAGTCTCTTGGGGCTCTTTGGCGGCGTTTTGGAGGCCCCCAGGGCCTCTTGGGGGGCTCTTGGGGGTAGTCGATTGCGGCTCCCCCATCGGAGGCCACGATCCTCGTGAGGGGTGTCGAAAAATACCCTCCCTTGGAGTGGTCTGGTGGCTTCTCCCGGGCTTCTCTCAGGACCTTGCCGGGGTACTTTTCGTCCGGGGGCCCCCAGGGGCCGCTCCGCGCGCGCGAACTAGAAATATTGTTAACAAGTTACCGGAGATCTTAGCACGCCTCTGGCCCGTTGGGCCGGCGAATTATACCCAGGAGTCAACTGGAGAAGCCGTTGCGGATTTCTCAATCAGGAAGATTGTTGAAGACATGTCGGGCCACGTTTGGGCGTTGCTGGGGCGATTCTGAAATCCTTTTTGGACTCGTGCTGGGCCTGTCCTAGGCCTCAGCGGCCCTCTTTGGGGCATTTTGGAGATTGGAGGACATCACAATCTCGCCGGACAAGTCTGGCGGGGGTGGCGCCCCCCCCTCGCTGATGACGAAACTCGGAGGACGTTTTTGGAGGATCGAGACCCTCCAAATTGAAGGCTGGACCTCCGTTCTGGATATTTCTGCCCCTCGATTCTGCAGTTGTGTTTCGACCTGAATGCTTTTCCGTCAAGATGAGGCTCGACGTCCAGAGGGGGACCGAATTGAAGAGCCTCGCCCCGCCCGTCGGAGCTGGAAGCACCGTTTCCTGGGGAACTGATACAGTGAGCATTGTGGATATTGGGCGGGTTTTGGATATTGACGAGAAGGAGGTGAAATGATGATGAGGGGGATGAGTCAGAAGGACAAGGACTACGAGAAGGGCGACGAGGAGAATGAGGAGGAGGAGGAGAAGCAGGAGGAGGAGGAGGAGGAACGAGCAGGACATTGAGGAGACTGGAGGACGGACGCTGATGATGGTTGTGGTGACGGGGAGCAAGAGCGGGTGGAGAACAATGGGCAACGGGTTGAGGAGGAGGAGGGGGAGGAGAACGGATGAGGGCGAGGGAGACGGCGACGACGACGAGGTGGACAAGGAGGAAGAGGAGGAGGAGGAGGAGGAGACGGAGGAGGAGGAGGAGGAGGAGGAGGAGGAGGAGGAGGAGAGAAGGAGCAGGAGGAGGAGGAGGAGGAGGAGGAGGCGGAGGAGGAGGAGGAGAAGAGGAGGACTGGGAAAGGATTTAGGGCGCGGAGTAGCACGTTAGCATGAGAGGGCGCGCGGCAGGCAGGGTGGGCCTGCGGAACCTTGGCAACACGTGCTTCATGAACGCAGGCCACGTGGTCGCCCCCCTCTCTCGGCTCCCTCCTCTGGAGGAAAGAGGGAGTGGGGGGTGAGTGGGATGGCAAGGAGGAGGAAGAGCAGGAGGAGGAGGAGGAAAGGGAGGAGGAGGAGGAGGAGGAGGAGGAGGAGGAAGGCCACATGCAGGGTCCAACCCCCGCGTTCGCCCCCTCGCACCGCGCCCGGGCGCGCTCGCGCGCCTCCAGGGGGGCCGGCCTTGGCCCGCCGGCCGCCGGCCAGGGACAGCAGGAGGTGCGGGGAGCGGCGTGCGGCCTCGCTGGCGAGCCACAAGCGGGACATCCACAACAGCTGTCAAGCAGTGGCGAAGCGTCCTGGCTTGCCTATAGCCCTACCGAACGATGTCTTTTGCGGTTTCCACGAAGTGTTCTTAGAACATGTCTGGCGGAGTGTTGCTTTGTTTTATCACATCGGGTTTATGGTCTAAGAAAACTGTTTTTGTTCTTGGGACACTTTTCGGTTCTAAGAACATTTCGT